TTCTTCTTTTTGTTTTTCTGCTGCTGCTGCCGCTGCTGCTGCTTCTGCTGCTGTTGCTGCTGCTGCTGCTGCTGCTGCTGCTTCGGCTGCTGCTGCACGCTGCTGCAGCTGCCGCAGCACAGCAGGCAATTGGTGCTGCAGATATAAATATGTTGTGCAGGTGTATATTTGAATGGATGCATGCAGCAGCAAACGCAAGAAAATAAACATATAAATAAATAAACAAATAAATAAATAAACAAATAAATAAATAAACAAGTAAATAGACAAACAAATAATTAAATAAATAAATAGTCTTATTAATTATACCTGAGCAGCAAACACCATCAACTGCGAGAAAGAAGCTTCAGCAGAAAACTTTCTCGCTTCTTCTTCTTCTTCTTCTTCTTCTTCTCCTTGTCTTTCCTGTTTTTCTTCTTCTTTTGGGCTGCAACTAAACCCTAAGAAGAAGAAAAAGAATATATAAACAGCAGACATTCAAATGTTAAGGAAAAGACTTACAAGAAGACGAAAGAGATTTTCTTCTTTTTCTTCTTCTCTCTTCTTGTTGTCGATAGGAAGAAGCAAAAGAATTTTCTTTTTGTTGGCGTTGCAATTTAAAAGGAAAAGAATTTTGTTTTATATTTCGTTTATAAGCCATTTTAATATAAAGAGTATTTTCCTTTCTTCGTGTAGAAGATAAGAAAATTCAATAGAAATTGACTGATTGATTGCAAGACTTCTTCATATATAATACCCCCAAATAATAAGATAATATTAATACAATATTATATAAAATAATAACAAATAATGCAGAATATATTCTTCAAGAAAATATCAAATGAACCCCGTCGTTTTCTTCTTCAGCACTGCTCATAGCTGAGCTGCAGATACACCCGAAGAAGAAAACAGCAAAGTGTTTCCGATCCTCAACTTTGCAGCTTAAATATATTTATTTGTTTATTTTTATTTGAATAAAAACAACGAAAAACATTTAAAATTAAAATTATATTTTTAAATTGAGGCCCCCTTCTACGGAAAATGCTGCAGTGCAGAGTTGAGGCAGCTCTTGTGATAATTATACAATAATTATATTTGAATTAAAATATATATTTAACCTGTAATTAAAATATAATTATAATTTTATTCGTTTATTTAATATGTTCTTTACAAGAAACATTCTGGTGCCGTATCGACAAGCAAAGGAGAAGCAAACTGCAACTTCTTTTTTTTCCTTCTTCTATTTTCTTTTGTTTTTCTTTTTAAACCTTTCGTCATCCCCTCAGTATTCTTTTTCTTGTTCTTTTCTCTTTCTTTTTCTTCTTCTTCTTACTATTATTATTCTTATTATTATTATTCCGCTTCTTCTTCTCTCGCTTTCCCTCTCTTCTTTTTCTTTTACTTTTCGTTGTTTTTATTGCTTTTCTTCTTGTTTCTCTCTCCTCTTCCTGCTTCTGTTCCGGTTGTTGCTGTTACTCTATTTCTTTTTCCTTTTGTTTTTCTCTTTGCTCTTCTTTTTCTTCTTCTTATTCTTTTTTTCTTATTCTTCTCTTTGTTCTCCTTTTAAAATTCTTTTATCTTTCTTCATATTTATATTTTAATCCCCACTCCCTCTGCTGTGGAATTACAAGACAGAAATAAACCCGAAAAAAAATTAAAAAGCAACGACAGCGCTGCAGCAAAGAAAAAACCTCTGTGCTGTACAGCAGCAGCAGCAGTAGCAGCAACAGCACAAGCAGCAACAGCAGCAGAAGCAGCAGCGCTGCAAACCCAGACGAAGAGGAAGGCAAAGCAAAAAGAAGAAATAAATTTGTTTATTAGGGTTTAATTAGAAAGAAAAAAAACAATAAAAATCATCGCCAACAAAACGCAAAATTAAATTCCCAAGTCCCTCACAAGCGGCAGCAGCAGCTGCAGCAGCAGCAGCAGCTGCAGCAGCAGCTGCTGCTGCTGCTGTGGCTTGCTGCAATTGGCTGTTGCTGCTGGTTGCAGCAAACCTTGAGACAGCAAAAGCAGCAGCAGCTGTTGCCTTCCGGCTGTTCGCTGCTGCTGCTGCTGCTCCAGCAGCAGCTGCTGCTGCCGTTGGTTTCTGTTCTCTGCTGCTGCCTGAAGAACCCTTTGAAAGCGCGGCAGTTGCTGCTGCTGCTGCTTGCTGCTGTTGGCTGCTGCTGCCTGAATCAC